CCTCAGCCCCAACCAGAGTTGGCCAGCTAAACTATCCTGTAATACGTCATCGGGGAATTTGACCCTATAGTCTCTCCTGGCTCTAGAATTAGGAATAACCTCTGTCATAATTTGTTCAATGATTGACAGGACTGAGTCCTGATGCTGTCGTAGTTGATTTACTAAAATGGCACATCTCTCTGGCTCTTTGCGGCCGTCGAAACTATCTAACTCTGAGGCTACAGAGTTTAGTTCTTCATCTGCAAAATAGAATTTTGCCAGAAGTGCTGTGTCAGTTTTCTGTGGTTTTATTGGAGTAAAGTAAATAAAATTAATTAAAATTTTAAATTAGATAGAAAACTGATAATCACTAATCCAAAATTTTACTAAAAACTGGTTTTAGGGGAAAAAAAGATCAGTCATCATAATCAATGGCTCCTAGGGCAATCCCATCATTTAAAACTTAAAACTTAAAAGTCAAAACAAAACAAAACACTGACTAAAACAGCTTGTATGAAAATTAAAAATATAAAAATTAATGATCAACCTTTGGTTTGAAAATCCATTTTCTTATTGAATTCATTTTTTATTATTAAATTACAAATATTACAATTAATTTCTAGAATTATCTAAAATAAAGAAATAACTTTTAATTACTCACCCAGTATTTATTTTTTAATTAATGATTGTGAAATTAAATTGATGTTACACAAATGCAATTCTGAATAGTGTAAATGGTACTTTTAATATTAGTAAAAAACGTAAAAATTACACTTTTTTTAACATTTATCTATAATTTAGTAATTTTATTTGCATAATAATACAAAATTAAATACAAATTTGTATTAAGTTAATCAAAAATTGTTTAAAAACTAAAAATTTAAATAGTTAAATTTGTCTAACCCTAATCTACCGTAAATGACGTATACGTGCGCGCACTTGTTTAAATGTTTATGAATGAGCGAAAAAGTGAAACCTTTTTTACACTAATTAAAGAAATTTGTTTTTAATTTAATTAAACATTTAATTTATTTAATTAAATATATATTAATTAAATCACGTAATGGATTCTTGCGTTAGCCCCACGATGTCTGTTGACGCAAGTCATTTAATATCCTCAACTAAATCTTTGTCTGATTCAGGTTTGTGGATTTTTTAGTGTAGATTAGAGTAGGGAAACATTAGAGTCGGCCAGACACCAAATTTAATTAATTTTTTATCTATTTTATAGAAAACCACAAGTTTGTTGTTATTGGGCAAAGGTTAGCTAACCACACTGCATTGAAAAACGCTTTGAAAGTAATTTTTCTCGTTTCAAATTGAAAATTAAAAAAAAAAATATTTTGAAATTATTTATGTTAAATAATGAATAGTAATGAAATATCTAAAAAAAAAAATAAATCACCAAACTTTGATTTCTATCTTATAAAGTGTAAAACCTGTAAATTTTCCCTCCCCAACCAACCAAATAGAATTATAACATACCAGCCATATTCTCAGACACCGGATTAGAACTAATTAACGACCAAGACGCCATATTTATCCTAGAAAACTTTGAAGGCAGTATATTCAGCCAACTTCACCAACATGACTGCAGAATAGTTGGACCCACTGTTGTCATCCAGGCGTCTGATAAAGTAGATATTTTGCATCTTTTTTTGTAATTTATTTTATAATTCCACTTAATATTATTTGTTTTATTTTTCTTATTATTGTTCTTCTTATTATTATTATTCCAGATACTTCCGTATAGGCCGCGACCTCTATACTGCACTTCTATGGAACAGCTAACAATATGCTTTAATAAAGACACGTCAAGAAATGAACTAGTTTGTGGCAATGAGGATAATGATTGTTATGATGATGTTGATGATGATGATTATCAGAGATGATAATGATGATAGCCATTTAAATTATTATTATTTTTCCCCACTAAGATAACCCTGGCCAACTTAGCCCACTACATGGGTGCCAGTATAAAAAAAGACATGAGTTCAAAGGTCACACACCTCGTGGCATGGAAATCCGGAGGTCAGAAGTACAAGGTCAAGTTTTTGTCAGATTTATTTCAATCCTTTTATTCATCAATATAGATTTTTTTTTGTTATTTATTTATCAAATAAAATTATTTTTCTTAAAAAAATCACGTCATTCTGTAGATGGCGCTAAGCATGGGGATAAGAATAATGACGAATGATTGGGTCTATGCCTGCTGGAAGATGAGAGACGATGTTGAGTTTAAAGCTTCTAACTCAGATGTCATCGTTAGTTTTGTCCATTTTTCATTTATTTATTTGTTTCTATGTCCATCCGTCTAACCACCTTTTTGATCATCTATCCATCTATGTTTTTATCTATCTATCTATCTATCTATCCATCTATCTATCTTTTTATCTATCTATCTATCCATCTATCTATCTATCATATATTATATTATTAATTATTTCTGCACCAGGCCAAATACAAGTGGGAGCCATTTAAGCATTGCATTCTATCATTCCATGGTTTCAATAAGGAAGAGATATCTAATTTTGAAGAACTTACCAACGCTAATGGTAATTAGTTAATTAGTTAATTAATTGATTGTTGGATGGATGGATAGATAGATTAATGGATGAATGGATGGATAGATTTATGGATGGATGGATGGATGGATAGATTTATGGATAGATGGATAGATAGATAGATAGTTAGATAGATAGATAGATAGATAGATAGATAGATAGATAGATAGATAGATAGATAGATAGATAGATAGATAGATAGATAGATAGATAGATTGTGTATCCTATTACCAGCAATATGCTGATGATACTGATGATGATGGTAATGGTGATAATGATAATGATGCCAATCCATCATTCTCAACACCAGGTGGCCAGATAGCCGTTGTTGGCTCTCCCAACTGCACTCACCTAATTGTAAATGAGAAGAAGATCACAAATATTGATTCCATTGAGATCGTCGGGGAAGTACACATTGTCATTCCTGCAGTACGTCTTGCGTATTATTTGTATATACAGCGTATTTTATGTATACATTATGTATTTTATGTATACATTATGTATTTTATGTATACATTATGTATTTTATGTGTACATTCCGTATTTTATGTATACAATACATATTTTATGTATACAATGTGTATTTTATGTGATTGATACACTATGTGATTTTTGCATACATTTAGTAGCACATCTGTGTAAGGCACTTAAGAGAAATATTGTTATACTAAATATTCATGACTTATTCAAATTACCATTACATTACTAATAGTTAATACCTTCAATTTCAAGTTTGTTTTTTGTGTTGACAGTGGTTCTGGGCTAGCATACAGATGGAGGCCTGTGCAGACGAGACCCTCTACCAGTTTCGAGCCCCTACCAACGACGAAAACAATCGACGGACCTCCTCTAATCGCCTAATTCTATCCAGTAATTCGACCTCAGGTACCACTGCAACTACTCCTAGGTCAAGGTTAGGTACGTTTTCGTCGAAAGTGGCCACACCGCTGACGCACTCGAGCAAGTCCAGTAAGAGAAGAAGGTTACAGGAAAACTTGGCTCACCTGGCGAACGAGGGTGAAGTTAGTTGTAGCTTCGTCGGGGCCGATAAAGTTGCAAGTGGTGATTTTGCTCTGCCTAACTTGATTAGGAATAATAATGTTGATGGTGGTGGTGGTGGTGGCTCTGGGGTAGTTTTTAACGGTGGGAAGAAGAATGGCCAGACGTTTGATGCTGTTGTATTGCAAGGTTTCTACGTTTTTATTAGTTTTTTGTATTCGTTTTTCGAATTTTTACGATTTCAGCGAGAAAATTTTCACAACTGTGTGATGGTTTTTAAGTTCAAACTTAAAAAGAAATTATTACTTTTCTGATTCATTTCTTCAACAACAACAACGAAATTGTTCTCCTACTGCCAAACAGATATAAACAACACCAAAGACATCTCAAAGTCTCCGCAGACAGCAGCAACAATAACAACAAACACATCAGCAACATCACTTAGACAAACACAACAACAGCATCAACAACAACTAACTTCTCGTCAACATACAATTATGGAGTTACTCCAGACAGAAACGAATTACGTTGCTATATTATCTACAATCCTAAAAGTTTGTTTCCTTCTGTATGCTTATGCTGCTTGTCTGTTTGTTTGTTTCTTTGTTTGAATATGTGTACATTATTCTCGTTAAGTTTAATTTTTATTGATTTTCCCAAAAGACTATAAATAAACCAGCCAATCAATCAATCAATTGAAAAACCATTCCCCAACGAAAAGATTTTCAAAGAGGAGATAGAGCGACCGGATCAGGCTGGAGGTCCAATACTGGATCAACAGGAGTCTAAAAATATCTTCGGGGGAATCCCGCCTATCTGTGAGATACACCTGCAAATAAAATCGGAGATTAGTAAAATCGTGCAGAACTGGTCGGATGAGTTGTTCGTTGGAGATGTCTTCCTAAAGCATGTTAGTCAAGTTGTATTATTATTATTATTAGTGTTGTTATTATTATTATTATTATTAGTGTTGTTATTATTATTATTATTTGTTTATTTCCAGGCGGATTCGTTCATAAAATGTTATCCAGTCTTTGTTAATTACTTCGAGAAGACCAAAGAGTTGATAAATAAGTACGATAAATGTAAACCGAGGTTCCATGCTTTTCTAAAGGTCTGCTGCTGCTGCTGTTGCTGTTGTTGTTGTCGTTATTCGGATCATTATTATGATATTTGATTGATTGGTTGATAGATTGATTGATTGATTGATTGATTGATTGATTGATTGATTGATTGATTGATTGATTGATTGATTGATTGATTGATTGATTGACAGTTATGTCAGGACAAGCCAGAGTGTGGAAGACAATCTCTTGTTGAATTGATGATAAGGCCTGTTCAGAGGCTGCCAAGTGTTCTGCTACTGCTAAGAGGTTGCTGCTACACACATACACAAACACATGCATACATATACACACACACGCTCATTCATACATACACGCATACACAGACATACTGAAGAGAACAGACAAAAATCATGCTGATCATACCAAACTAGAAAAAGCAATCACAGTTCTAGAAGAAGTTATGACGTACGTATGGGATGTTGAAGAGGATGTTTTTGATGGTGATATGATGACGATGATAATGACGAAGATATAATTCGGCGATATTATTTTGTTGATGATGAGATAAGATAATGATGACGATGATGGCGACGACGATGATGATGATGATGATTACGATGATGATGATGATGATGATGACGACGATGATGATGATGATAGGCACATAAACGAAGACAAACGAAAAGCAGATGGTCACCAAACTATGTTTGACATCATCAACAGCATCGAAAACTGTCCTGTAAGATGATGATGATTGTGATTGTGATGGTGATACGTACATACATACATTCATGCATGCATACATACATACATACATACATGTTTGACGGTTCAGTGTCACTCATCATGTTTTGGTTTTAACATACATGCATACATACATACATAATACATACATACATACATACATACATACATACATTCAGCCTAACTTACTATCTGCCCACCGTACATTCATCTGCAATGTTAACGTCATGGAAGTCGGCGATACACTACACAAGAAAGGGGAATTACTAACTTTATTCATATTTTCTGATAGTCTTGAGGTGGTTCTCTCTTTCGTTCATTCATTTTTTCTTCGTTTATTCATTTTTTCGTTCATTCATTTCTTTCTTCATTTGTTCATTTTTTCGTTTATTCATTCATTCCTTATAACGAAAAAGTTTTTCAGTCAGATTGATTTAGGATTTGCAAAAACTAATTGAAACAGTACCAATTTGTTTATTCGTTCATTCATTCATTCATCTGTTCCTTCATCTGTTCATTCATTCATCCGTTCATTAGATGGTTCACTCATTCATTCAGTGGTTCGTCATTCATTCATTAGTTTACCCATTCACTTGCTCACTCAATCCGTAAAGATTTGCAAGAAGAGATTGAAAGCACTAAACTCGAAGAGCCCTGGAGTTGGCAAGGGGCAGAAATGTTACAAGCACCTGACCATGCTCTCCTTCCTTAGTATCAAGAGAGTCATCAACGTCATCGAAACTAATGGTCGGTCGGTTGGTTGGTTGATTGGGTGATTGATTGGGTTATTGATTGATTGATATTGATTGATTGATATTAATTGATCGATATTGATTGATTGATATTGATTGATTGATAGATTGGTGACAATAAATAAGGCAGATCTATTTGATCTACCAATCTGACCAAACATTTTGATCAGCCAATCAACAAAACCAGACCAATCAATCCCATCAACCAATCATCATCATCCTCCATAGAATTTCGTCACATATTTGGCCTGATAATAAAAAAGATAGAAGATAAAGAAGAGAAGTTACTAACCTTCTCACTAAACGATCCCAATGTTACAAAGGTTGAGTTCTTAACCATGCTTAGTAAGAGCATATGCAATGCATCTTGCAGGGCTGATTATGTGAGTTGTTGCTTGGTGTTGCTGATGAAGATGATGGTGTGGTTGTCGATGATGATGAAGATGATGGTGTTGTTGTTGATGACGAAGATGATGGTGTTGTTGTTGATGACGAAGATGATGGTGTTGTTGTTGATGACGAAGATGATGGTGTTGTTGTTGATGACGAAGATGATGGTGTTGTTGTTGATGACGAAGATGATGGTGTTGTTGTTGATGATGAAGATGATGATGATGTTGTTGATGACGAAGATGATGATGTTGTTGTTGATGACGAAGATGATGGTGTTGTTGTTGATGACGAAGATGATGGTGTTGTTGTTGATGATGAAGATGATGATGATGTTGTTGATGACGAAGATGATGATGTTGTTGTTGATGACGAAGATGATGGTGTTGTTGTTGATGACGAAGATGATGATGTTGTTGTTGATGACGAAGATGATGGTGTTGTTGATGACGAAGATGGCTGATGAAGAATATTTCATTACCTGTGAAGGAGACGTTGATAGCGAGTTGTGATGCCTCCGTGCTTAACCTCGATTCGTCTGATCTGTTTGGGTATAATTCATTATCTAGGGTGGCTAATAAGTTAGTTGATGGATTGGTTGGTTGGTTGAGTGCGTGACGGATTGATTGTTTGACTGACTAGCTGATTGATTGATTGGCTGTGATTGATTGATTGATTGACTGTGATTGATCGATTGATTGATTGACGACGACAACCACAGATTCACAAAACGCGTGAGTCGTGCCTTCTCTCTCAACAAGTCGCCGACGAGCAGCTCGCTACGCAGCATCAGCAGCATGTCGCACATTGCTGGCTCGGCCACGGCTATCAACATCATGGGGAACGCGGCGTCGGACGACTTCTCCAGCGACAACTTCAACGACGCCGGTAGTAGTAGCAGCAGTTATGGCGGAAATGCCGGGTCGTCGCTGGCTTCTGTTACTCCTCTTGGAAGCGCTTCTTCTGGATTGAATGATGATTGGGTTGGCTGGGGTGGGGATACATACATACAAACATACATACATACACACACACACACACACATACATACATACATACATACATTTGATACCAAAATTATTTACAGAATGATTTTGACTCGAGGTCATTCTACATGGACCAGACAGTGATAGATGCTAGTGAGCTACAACAACGGAGAAGGGAAACATTGGCGGTATGCTGTGTGTGTGTGTGTGTGCTTGTTTGTGTGTTTCTTTTTTGAATTGTATATTTTTGTCTGATGTACGTACGTTGATTAATTTAAAAGTTTCTACTTTTTTCATCTTTTGTTGTTTTTTCATTTCGTCATTCATTCAATTATTTTTTCTATCAATATGTTCATTCATTCATTCATTTATTTGTTCATTCATTAATTCATCCATTCATTCATTAATTCATCCTTTCATTCATGACTGCCTAACGACGAACCAGACGCCAACATCTGCATGTCTGTCTGCAACAATATGCGTTCCTATCACATCTCCAGAGAAAAAAAATAAAAATATACCACAGGTCTTACACACACACACGCACACACTGATAAAACTAGTTAAGTCCCATTCCTATACATTCTTTTCTCAAGGCACATCTTAGTTAAGGACTGCACTTTCTATATGTAAATCCGTATTTCATGGATTTTATGGGTTTCTTCTACTGTATTATGTATAATAATTTTGGCGTTTAATTTGTTTGTTTAATTGTTTGTTTGTTCAATTGTTTGTTTGCTCATTTGTTTGTTTTATTGTTTGTTTGTTTGTATGGCAATTCTTTCTTTCAGGTGCACACATTTTTTTATTTAATTTCATAACTAGAGGCACTACTCAATTATAACAAAATACAAAACAATAAAAATGATAATAGAAGCAAAATTGTAATCCGAAATTTGTAGCAAAGCGTAGACAACCTATCCACATTGTATGCCACTCCGAGACTGACCAGGCACACCCAAGCCCCTGCCCCATCATCTTCCTCTACTTCTCTGGCCAATAAGGGCAAGAGATTGTCTTCCTTATTCTCCATGGGTGGGGCTTGGTCTTCCAATCAGAAGCTGAATACGTCGAGAGGTGCGCCGTCTTCGTCCAATCAGAGGCTGAATACGTCGAGAGGGGCGGCGTCTAATTTGATGTCGTCGTCCAATCAATCGTTGAGAAAGGATGTTAAAAATGTTGGTTGGTGGGTTGATTGAATGGTAGCTGAAATGTTGATTGATTGGTTGAAGTGTTGATTGGTTGTGGTTGGTTGAAATGTTGAATAATTGGTCGGTTTAATGAACTTCAGCTTTTAATTATTCTACCTTGGTTAGGTTAACATCACGAGATGATGACGACAGCTAAATTGTTTATAACTTTAATTTTTATCCAGAACCCTTCTTCAGCAGCAGCAGCAGAACCAAGGCCAATATCTTTAACGAGATTTGATAAGAAGCACATGGAATATAGAGTCTAGTAGCCCATTCATCATCATCATCATCATTATTATTATTATTACTATTATTTATTATTATAATAATAATTATTATTATTATTAATTCTACTATATCAAATCAATTGTCGTTTTTTTTTACCTGCTCGATATCTACATTTGTTATAGCCATTATTGGCATTGTTGCCATTTTTTATTACTATAGTTGATATTATTATCAATTTATTCTTATTCTCCTTCTTATTATTATTAATTGTTGAATCATGGAAGTAAAACACGGCTTTCAAATTTATTTATTTATATTTTATTTATAGCCCAAACAAAACATCGATTGTATATACGCCCTATATATATATATATATATATATATATATATATATATATCTTTGTATATATATATACATACATGTATATTCAAATACCCATTTAACATATTGTAATTAGCAGCTATATGTATTAGCCCATATTTTAACATATTATAATTAGCTGCCTTATTCAAATTTCCATCCTATTTTGCATGTGATTATATACACCTATATATGCATATTTATTGTTAATCTATTTATATTCATGACATTAATCGAAAAATCACATATATATATATATATACATATATATATATAGCAAAGATATTTATTACTGAATAATTTTATTTATCGTTGGAATATGCGTATAAATTAAATATTTTCAAACTTGTGTTTTCAGCAATTTTATTATTATTATTGTTGTTGTTGTTGTTTATTATTAATTATTAATATTATTTGTATTATTATTTGTTATTATTACAACAACAAGACACTATAGCTCATATATTCCACGTATATCAAATTTTTTCAATAAAGTATGAATGAATGGTTAAATTTAGTTAAATCAATTAAGTATGCATGTATGTGTGGGTTTCTTTGTGTTTGTATGTGTCAATATTCGTATGTCTGTCTGTGTGTGTGTGCGTGTGCGCGTGTGTCTACGACTACATAATCGTGTGATGGATGTATAAGTGAATTTACACATTAAAATACCTCATTACATAAAATTAGATACCGCATTTGCGAGTACGATTATACAAGGTTAACAATTTATGAAAAAAAATACGTATCCTTATGTGTGTTCGTGTTCATGTGTCTGTGTGTGTGTGTTCGTGTTCATGTGTCTGTGTGTGTGTGTGTTTGATAGAGACGCACCGAATGTTAGCCTAGAAAAATTGACGATCGTTTTATACCATTTCCGTTTACGTCATCACTTTTTTGGATTCCAGAACGATAACTGTTGAATGTTATTAGCTGGAAATCTATTTTGACCGTCATAGGGGTTAACACACGTGAATGTAAAGAAGAAACATGTGAATTTGAACAAGAAAGGTGTGAATTTGAAGAAGATACATGTGAATTGGAACAAGAAACATGTGAATTTGAAGAAAAGATAGAATATTATCTCGACAACGAACTGTTGTAGAATGTAGAGAACAATCGTCTACCGCCAATCGCTCAATAGCTAGTTTTTCATCCTGAAAAATGAAATTGTTTTGGATCGACTAACCATTCGGTTCGTCTCTAATGTATAGCATCGATACATTTTTATACAATAATATTAATACAATCAACAATGAGTTTCATAGTAGAAAAAAGTACAATCGATGGAAAAATAAAGTAACATTCATTGTATTGTGCAGTACATATGTGTGTGTATATATATGTGTGTGCCTGTGTTTGTATGTGTATGTGTGTGCTTGTATGTAAGTGTGTACGATAGTATGTTTGATACATAAAATATACTACAATTATTATTTTACAATACTGAAAGAAGAGTACTAAACAAATAGTAAGTTTATAATGCACACACACACATATATAATATATGTTATATATATTTTTTCATACATGTTGTATATATATATGTGTGTGTATATATTTATATATATATATATATATCAGCAAATGTTTTCTATCAACATTGACTGCACACAAACTACATCAGGTATGGGTAGGAATGATGATGATGATGACGAGGATGATGATGATGACAATGATGATGACGAATTCTTATCACTTGCATTAATAACTTTATAATTATGGTTGTTTTTATTTATACCGCCGTTATTAACGCTGTTACCAATGGTGAAACTGTTGCCAGTAGTATTAGCAGCAGCAGCTGTAGTAGCAGCTGTAGTAGTAGTAGCTGGGGCGGTAACTTCATGATTGATGGTGGACATCATCTTCTGCCTCACTTCTCTGATTTTCAACTGGAGGTGATTTCTCGATGGGAATAAGTCGAGGTGACGTAACTGGAATGAGACCGTCACTTCCGCTGTTGTTTGTTGTTGTTGTTGTTTGTGGTTCGTGATGTTGTTGGATTATTGTTGTTGTTGTTTTTCATTTAGTAAAAGCTATGTATTTAGCTGTATTTCTAGTTAAGAAAATATTATTCGTTCGTTAATTCATTCGTTTGTTCTTTCATTCATTCGTTTGTTCATTAATTAATTGATTGATTACTCCTATCATTCATTCATTCGTTCGTTTATTCCTTCATTCATTCATTCATTAATTTATTCATTCATCCAATAGATCATTAATTCCAACAAACCAACTAAACTCACAGGATGGAAACCACCCGTGTTCTAAGAAAAGTTGCGCCACGCAATTTCTTCTCCGATCGATGACGTATTTTGATGACGTCATCATTAATTGTTGATGTTTTTGTTGTTGTTTTTTGTCAATTTCGTAGTTTGTGGTGTCTATGTTGTTTGTGTTTTTGATGTTGTCTGCGCTAGTGTCGTTGTCGTCGTCGTTGTTGTTGTTGTTGTTTATACCTTTGACGTCATTATCATATTTACAATAATCATCATCGTCATAAGAATCGATTGAAATGATCCTCAAGTGGTTGTCAAAATTGTTTTGATGTAATAGTGTAATTGTTGTCGACAATTTGTTGTCGTTGTTGTTGGTGTTGTTGATGTCTTTGGTTTTGTTTATTTTGAAAACCGGTAAAATGTAATGTAAAAATGTTATTGAAAATTTGTTGTTGCTGGTGGTGTTGTTAATGTTGTTGTTGTTGCCATTTAGGATGTTGTTGTTTGCAAACATTTCATTTTCATCAATACTATTATCATCATCGTGAAATTTATTGACATCAGCATCATCGTCAGCAGGATCATTATCACCATCAGTTTTATTATCATCATCACCCGCATCATCATCATCATAATTATCAACATTAATATTTTTGTTAACTTTATCATCGATATCATCACTATTATTATTATTATTGTTGTTGTTATTATTATTAGTAGTATTAGTTGTTGAAGTAGTGGTGGTGGTAGTAGTTGCAGAAGTAGTAGTAGTTAAAGTAGTATTGGTAGGAAGATTTTTTTTAATGTTAACGATAATGCTACTTTTTACGTTATTGTTGACGTTGTTGTTGTTGTTGATGATGTTGATGATGTTGTTGTTGATGTTGTTGATGTTTGACATCCAAAATCTATCATCTATAGCTTTTTTCGACGTAGTTTCTGTTGATGTTGCGGTTGCTGTTGTTGTTAAAATTGCTTCGAGTGTTTTAGCGGGGGGTTTAGTCGTTGTTATAGTTGTTGTTTTATTGTTATTATTGTTGTTGTTGTTGCTGTCATTATTATTTTTGTTGATTGTATCTTTGTCATCAATGTTACAAATCCTCCCGCCATCGTCAACATCGTCAAAGTTCAGCCGTGCTCTCGAACCAGTGTTCAACGAATCTACCTGATCAATTTGAAATTCAGCAACATTATCTCTACAGCCACCACTGCCACCAACGTTTTCAACGCCGCCACAGTTACTACCGCTTGACCACCGCCAATTCGGGTGTTTCTTGAAATGGGCCTCTTTCACCTTGGAATAAATGAACAAGCAGCTAGGCAAACGAACAAAATAGGCAAGCAAATGAACTAATGCGTTATTTCAAAAGAAACTCTCTCTTTCACTAGAAACATCTCTTCTGAGAAAACATCATAAGCAAAACCATTAAAAAAAACCCGTCTTGAAATCGCCCCTTCGTCAAAAATACCTTGAGGGCCAAGTCATGGTACCTCTGTTTGTCATCATTGCACAGGGCGTACCACCACTCTCCAAGTATTTTGCTGACCGTGCGGTTGTCTTGGTTGGGGTACTTTTGGTGGACCTCAGCCCTGTGGTTCTTACTGAACAGCATGAATGCGTTCATCGGACGCCTTATGTATGCACTCTGTGTGAGTTTGTACGTGTGTGTGTGTGTGGATGTGCGTGTACATACACACACATACTACACACTCACATACACACACACACACGCGTTCAAACTTATATAAACAAACAACCAACAATATTGCTTACGCTTCTAGCCAGGTATACATTTTCCTTCAGATTATTATTAATTTTATTTTTATAATTTATATTATTATTCAGTTTGGTGCGTTTCAGAGATGAGTGACAGACTTCCATGTCGTTTGTGTAACCTTTGACCTTTGGCACATCATCTGTATGTGTGTATGTACAGGTATGTATATATGTATCTATGTGTGTTTGTATGAATGTGGGTGTATGTATGTGTATGTATATGTGTGTGTTTGTGTGTGTAAGAGTGTGTGTGTGTGTATACGGCAGACGTTTTGTACATGTTTTGAAATACATATGTTCCGACTATTCAGGTCGAAAAATTGAAATATAAACCAAGAAAAATAACAAAAGAAAATAAGGTAGGTATCAATTGATGCTTGTGTGCTTGTACGCGTATGTGCGTGTGTGAATGTATATACATGTGATAATGTATACACACACACACACACACAATTGAATTGAATTGAATTTCATTCATCCATAAACATACGCATACAAGTTTTCACTTAGACACAAACAAACCAAACATACATACACAAACACATACATATACACACACATACATATACACACACATACACACACAAACAAACGTACATACACGCATACACACATACACATTTCTTAGCTGCAGGTATCACATAGCATCACGTTCCCTCTCTTCCTTATCATGTTTCCATCAGGTTGTACAATGGCTTTTATTGTGTCTATTCAGATAGTTGCACGTACAATATATTTACACGTACACACATACATGCACACATATGCACATAAACACATACATACACGTATATAATATGCATGCATACATACATACATACATACATACATACGAAACGAAACGAAACGAAATTTTATACATACATACATACGTACGTACGTACATACATACATACATACATACATACATACATACATACATACATACATACATACATACATACATACACACAATCAAACAAACACACATTGACATATAGTTATATACACATACTTGAATACATGTACTTATACACATATGCATACAGAAGAAACATACATACATACATACAAACAAACATACATACAAAAGTACGCACCTATTTGTATGTATGTTTGTTTGTTTGTATGTATGTATGTAGGTTTGTATGTTTTTGTAGATACATTTTGATGGCGTGATGTTTTGATGTTACTGGAATGAATGGTAGGGATATTATGGATTTCCACATCATTATTTTTTTTGTTCTATTCTGTTCTTTTGTTATTATTCCTATGTATCATTGTTAAAATTATTTTAATTTATTTTTATTGTTGTTGTTGTTGACGTTGCTATTGTTGTTGCTGATATTTTTGATTCTGTAGGTGTATGTATGTGTGTGTGTGTCTGTGTGTGTGTGTGATGTGCGCGTGCGTGTGTGATGTGTGTGCGTGTGTGTGTTCTTTACTAAACAAGAAAAAGAAAGAGAGAATGATGATGGTGATGATGATGGTGATATGATAAAAATTATTCCGTATTTCTAAAAAGAAAACGCTATAAATTAAGATTGTAATTGGCGATGATGATGATGAAGATGATTGTAGTAGTAAAAGTAGTAGTTGTAGTAGTAGTTGTTGTTGTTTTTGTTGTTGAAGTAGTAGTGATGATGATGATGATGATGACGACGGCAGTAATGATGATAATGATCAAAGATTTTAAATTTTATTGTCGTCTTAATAATCATATCGCAACAACTACTATTATTGTTAACAATAATATTATGATTATTTATTATTATTTAGTGATTATTATTATTTTTATTATTATTAATTGTTTTTATTATTATTATTAATTGTTGTTATTATTATTATTATTACAAACGTTTCTAAAAATAGATCGGAATAAAGAGATAAACGCATTGATAATGGTAGAGAATGATTGCTTTCACAAGCAAAAAACCATTAACAAGGAAATAAAAATGTATATATATATTATTATATAAAAATATATATTCATATATAAAATTATATATTTATATAATTATATATATATAATTATATATTTATATGATTAAACATATTTATATATATTTGTCGTAGTTTTTTTATTGCCATTTACAAAGAAGAATATATCTTTTTATTGTGCTAGGAGTCTTTTCTTTGAGTCTTACGTCATAAAATTATATGGAAATAAAATAAAAATAATATTATTAATATGGTTATAATTATGAATAATTATGATAATAATAATAAAGATAATAATAATAATAATAGATACAATGATAATAAAAACAATAATAATAATAATAACCATCATCACAGTTGATGAAGATTGTTACTATTTCATAGTAGACTTGCTGGTACCGCTATAGAATTTGAGGTGGTTGCGATAATGATGATGATGACGACGACGATGATAATGATGATGATGATACCGACAACGATGATGATGATGATGACGACGAGGATGATAATGATGATGATGATACCGACAACGATGATGATGATGATGATGACATCATATATAATTACTATACACATTCATTCATCCTTCTATCCACACACAGACACACACACACAAACACACACACACAAACACATACATACATATAAATAATTTATGAGTTTATTATACAGCCGTAAGATTACATGAAATTTTTATTACCAAGTTATATCAACGTTTCTTATCTTCCTTATAAAACAATGCATCTTATCATACCTACATACATAAATACATACATACATACATACATACATACATACATACATACATACATGCATACATACAAACAAACATACATACATACGTATATAACATACATATACGCATACATACCTCTAACATACATAACATACATAATTAACATACATATATACACACATACCTCTAAATAAAGCCAGATTGATGGCGGTTAAAAGCGACTTGGGTTCTGCGGGGTTGGGGCAGTACCCAGCACTGCTTGCGGCACTAGACTTGACAACGCCTCTATCAGAGTCAGTCTATGCTTAAGATTGGGATTACCAGTGGTTTTTTCGGAGTAAAGATGTCTGTGCGGAGCCGATGTTTCTCCTTTGGGCTATCATGGCCTTTCATGTAAGTTGGGATCCGGCACAGGCAGGCTAAGCATTCAGCAATGAATGATTATCTGATTAGAATTTTCCAAAAAGCTAATCTACTAGCCATAAAAAAGCCTTCCGGTCTGATCCCGGATAGGAATATTAGACCAGATAGATACACACTAGCCCCATGGTCTGATGGTCGTTGTCTGATGTGGCACGTGACGTTCCCACATACTTTGGCAGATAGGCATATCAGCAATACTTTGTTGGGAGCTGGTACCGCCGCCATAAGTGCAGATGATTTTAAAAATTCCAAATATGTTGATCCGCTGAATGGCGGCCCAAGATTGTTTGTCCCGGTTTGCGTTGGAGCGTTTGGTCCAATTGGTAAGGTCACACAACAATTTTTTGACAATATCAGTGCTAGAATAAGCGAAGTGTCAGGCGATCCAAACTATAACATATATATATAAAACAAAATATTTCTTAATTATTACAAGAATTTAATTTTTTTGTATATTAGAAAATATTGCCAAATGCCCGGCTGCGCGAGATCCTAGGTGTATGTATGTTTGTTTGTTTGTTTCCCTGGTTGGTTGGTTGGTCGTTCGTTTGTTTGTTTGTATAAATATATATATATATATATATATATATATATATTTATATATATATATTTATTTATATATATATATATATATATATATATTTATATATATATATTTATTTATATATATATATATATATATATATATATATATTCAGCTTATATATATATATATAATATACAAATGCGGCAAATATTAAACAAATAAATAAATCATATATAAACGAAATTTGTGTGTATGATTGTTTTGTATGTATGTATGCCTGTATGTATGTACGGTTATATGTATATATGCATCTTTCTAACTATCCGTTGTATGCGTTCAAATCAATTGTGTATATCCATTAATCATTTTTGTAAGGTAGGTAGGTATGATAGTTTAGAAAAAGAACAAAAAAATTTTTTTTTGAAATTTGTGTGTGTGCGTGCATGTGTGTGTGTGCGTGTGTGTGTGCGTGAGTATAAGTGTGTATATATATATATATATATATATATATATATGCGTATTGAATGATTTTGTATGTATGTATGTATGTGTATATGTAATTGTTTGGCTGTTTTAATGAATATTTTGTTAGACTGATGTCCTCTGAGTATATACGGATGTGTGTTCGTATTCACGTGTGAGTGTGTGTGTGTGTGCGTGCGTGTGTGTACGCCAGTGTACGTGTACATTTAAGCGTACACAAAATGGTATTTTCGGTATTAGTTGTGTGTATAATGAAGGGAGAGAGTCATATATCAAATGCTGGCAGGCAATGTAAATAGAAACGACCTATGCAGCATTTGCTTTTGACCTTGTCTCTGTGCACGTTTCTATGTCTGTGTGTATGTGTATGTCTGTGTGTATGTGTATGTCTGTGTGTGTATGCGTATGTGTTCATACATGTGTGTGAGTATGTGTGTGTGTGTGATTTTGGTTGTATGTAAGTATGGATGGGAGATTGTGTTTGTGGTTGGGTTGTAAGCACATTATTCGAGTTTGTTTGTGTGTTTGTTTGTATGTATGTATATATGTACGTACGTATTTTAAGACAGGTATATACACAAACGTATGTGAAGTTATTGTAGAAAAATTGTACCTAAACATGTGTATACACATATGTATATACACATATGTGTAGGTATTGTTTGCTATTTAGATACAGGAAATTTTACACAAAAAAAGATAGCCAAACAAAAAACGGTTTAAAAGAATAGATATCTTAGATACCATTATCATCAAACACGGATTCGTGCATCTATTCATGTACGTGTTTCTATGTGTGTGTGTGTGTGTGTGTGTAGGAATGTGTGTACGTGATATACAATACAATACAATACAATGCAATACAATACAATACAATGCAATACAAACATCATAATACAAATACCCTAAAGCCTAAACATACAAACTTTTGCAGCTTGACGAATAAACATTTAAATGTTTGCATGCTTTAGTGAGCAAGAAACTGATCCAGCATTATCCGCCCGGATGGCCACGTTTAATAGAGGAATGAGTGAATGAATGAATGAATAAGTGAGTGAGTGAGTGAGTGAGTGAGTGAGTGAGTGAGTGAGTGAGTGAGTGAGTGAGTGAGTGAGTGAGTGAGTGAGTGAGTGAGTGAGTGAGTGAGTGAGTGAGTGAGTGAGTGAGTGAGTGAGTGAGTGAGTGAGTGAGTGAGTGAGTGAAAAAATGAGTGAAAAAATGAGTGAATGATAGAGTGAATGAACAAACAAATGTGCGAAGGAATGAATGCATGAAAGATGAAGAGAATGGAAAAATGAAAGAGAAATAAATATTTAAAATATTTATTATTTTCACTTTTTTTATTATTATTATATTAGTATTATATTAAATTTCATTTTAATTATTAGTATTGATATTAGAAGATAATTTGTTATATATAATAACTATATTGGCTACCTACATCCATATTACATTCAAAATCTTCTGAGGTGATCCATCTTCAATATGAATGTTTGGTTGCATGTATGTGTTTTTATGTATGTATGTATGTGTATGTATGTATGTATGCTTGTTTGTTTGTATGTATGTTTATATTTTTCGTGAAAAATAGACGCGGTAAGAACGATTGAATGTCTTCATCCGAGTACGATCAATTATATTTAACAATGAATTTTCAAACGGGACTTCTTCATGTATGTATGTTTGTATGTCTGTTTGTATGTCTGTGTGTATGTTTGTATGTCTATTTGTATGTTTGTGTATATGTTTGTATGTATGTTTGTATGTATGCACGTATGTATTTATATGTATATGTGTATGTAGGCATGTTATTTGGGGATTTCAATAATTTTTTGCTGCGCTTATTTTTATTTTCTTCTTGTTGGTACTAAAAAGATATGTTTGTGTGTGTGCGTGCTAGTGTGTGTGCGTGCGTGTGCGTGCGTGCGAGTGTGTGCGTATGTCTGTGTGTTTATGTGTTTAAGTGAACAACTGCGAATCCACTTTTAATGTTGTTTGTTTGCCAGTCTTGCCTTTTCATAAAATAACATTTTCACAAATTAACCTGAAATGTTGTTGTGTTATTGGCGCTTAAATTATTTCAGGGAAGTTTGTAAATGTGACGACGACGACGATGATGTTGTTGTTGTTGCTTTTGTGATAATACTATAGTAGTAGTTGTTGTTGCTGATGATGTACTATAGTAGTAGTAGTTGTTGCTGATGTTGTTGTAGTAGTAGTTGCTGTTGTTTTAGTAGTAGTATTAGTAGTAGTAGAAGTAGTAGTAGTAGTAGTAGTAGTAGTAGTAGTAGTGGTAATAGTAGTAGTAGTGGTGGAAATAGTAGTAGTAGTGGTGGTAATAGTAGTAGTAGTGGTGGTAATAGTAGTAGTAGTGGTGGTAATAGTAGTAGTACGACAAAGAAACAACTAAAAATCATAAAACAAAAAAAAACATACCAAATTATCTTCATGCAAAATATTTGTGAAAAAATGTTAGCTGAAAAACAACTCATTCTTTATTTTTAGACCACACACACGCGCGCGCGCACACACAAAAACACACACACACAAACATACATACATTCATATATACATACATACATACATACATACTAAAATACATAAAAGCAACAAGCACAATCGCACACGTTTATAATCATTTAATTAGTTATTTATGTCAACTCATAAATAAAAAAAAATCATTTGTACACACGCATACACACACATAAATATGCACACGCACACGCACATACACTTTTACAAACAAAAACATACATTAGATCACATACATTCCAACACTCATGCACACACACACACACATCTCGATATTATACAAACCATACTCACATACACAAACACCACACACACACGCGCGCGCATACACACGCACACACACACACAAACAAACAAACACATACAGGCAGACATACCGACATATCATCCTCTTCAATTATCCAAGTTAATTGCAAATGAAGGTAACACTAAGAGTTTGTTCGGTGGTTGCATAACAACAACATTTACAACAACAACAACAACAACAAATAATCGTAATAACAACAACAATAATAATAATAACAATAACATTAATTATAAGAACAACAACAGCAATAAGAGAAACAACAACAATAATAACATGCAAATAAGACATGGGCATCGTCAACAACAACAACTTTCCCCAACATCATTATCAGCACCAACAACAACAACAACAACATCATCATCATGAACGTATTCAACAAAACATCCTCATCATCATCATGCATCCTCAACAACAACAAC